AAAAAAAAAAAAAAGAAAAAAAGAAAAAACACCCCTGAAGCACAAGGAAACATTTAAAAAACTAAAATGTATCATAAACAAACTGGTTAAAACCAGTAATGAGGATAAAATCTTAAAAAGAGCCAAAGGAAAAAGGATACTATGTACAGAAAAACAAAGGTACAAATCATAGTGAAGTTCTTGCCAAAAACTGTACAAATCAAAAGGCATTCTTGAAAATTCAGAATTTACAAAGGGAAAATATTTTTCAAAAATGACTTTTTTAACATATAAAACTTAGAACAGGGACAGAAGAAGAAAGAGAATAGAGGGGTAAATTTGATCAAAGTACAATGTATGGAAAATCACAATGAAATTCCTTCAAACAATTAATATATGAAAACAAAAAAAATTTTAAGAAAGTTAAACGAATTTCTCATTAAGAGACTTGTATTCCTTATGTTTAAGGAACTTCTTCATGTAAAAGGAGAATGAAGCCATACAGAAACCTGGATCAAACATAGCTTATTAAGACATATATTATTTAAAAACCATCAAACATTTCATGAATATATCAAATAGAACATATTTAATCATTAAATAAATGCATGTTAGAAAAAGAAAGGTCTCAAATCAATTACCTCACCTTTCCTCCTCAGAAAACAAGTAAAAGAGTAACTGAAACTCAAGTGAATATAAGGAAGTAAGATCAGAGTGAACATCAATGAAATGGAAAACAGACCAGGGAGGAGGAGCAGGGTAAGGGAAGAAATCAATGGAACCAAAAGCTGGACTTTTTTTTTTTTTTAGAAGATCAATATAATTAAGAGCCTCTAGCCAGATTAACTGGGGGGAAAAAACAGAGAAGCAAACATCACCCTGATACCAAAACTAGAAAAAGACATTCTAATAAAACTAAAAATCAGTACCTCTCAGGAACATAGATGTGAAAATTCTTTACAAAATTTTAACTAAGTAAATCCAACAATATACTAATAGTTATACATCATTACCAAATGGAGTACATCTCAAGATGATTATTTGAAAACCAATCAACATATTTTATCATATAAATAGAAAAAAAGAAAAACTCATCATTTTAATACATGCAAAAAAAGCATTTGATAAAATACATCATCTAAATATTTCCTATGCATATACATACACACAGAGAAGAGAAAATTGGGACTTCTATCAGAAAATGGCTGCAACCTAGAAATAGAAGGAATCTTCCCCAAACTTACAAAAGGCATCTATAAAAATCCCACAGACAACATCATGCTTAGTGATGAAACTCAGAGACTATTTCTCTGAATATGAGGAACAAGGCAAAGATGCCATCCTCTCATTACTTCTATTGAAACATTATACTGAAGATACTACATCAATTAAGGCAAGAAAAAAGCAAAACAAAACAAAAATCCTAAAAGTATCTCAAATATAAAGGTACAAGTAAAACCATGCTTATTTGCAGAAATCAAACAGAAAACAAATGAAACTTTAAAGAGTAAAAGAAAAAACAAAAGGGATTTTTAAGATTTCATTTCTTAAAAAAGTTACTCACTCAGCACAAACAGTTTTTCCTGCTGATGTATGTGCAGATACTAAGACAGACTGATTATTATCAACACACTGAATGGCTTCTCTTTGGAAAGCATCAAGAATGAATGGGTATTCCTACAAAAACAAAGTATTAATACAAATGAAAATACTTAGCTGTCTCAGAGAACAATTAAAACCAAAAGAAAAGCTACTTTTCCAAGAGCATGCTGAGAGAATTCCCTTATGATTCTATGTAGCAAATAATTTAGTCCCAAATTAGGAAGACTAAAAAAGCTTTTCCAGAGGGCAAGGAAGTTAATTCTGTAATAACTTTTCAATTATTACACTGCACTTATACACATTATTAAATTAATAAATAATAATAAAGTAATCATTACTATTCAATCAAAAACATTTTGCAGTAGGCACCGGGGCACACATTTTCCATATATTATTATTAATCTTCACAACCCCCAAAATAGGTATGTATTATTATGAGAACTCTGAGGTTCTGAAAAATGAAATCCCTAACATTACTAAACAGTAACAGAATAATAAGTATATACAAATTAGACTTTAAGGGCTCATGCTTACTTCTCTATACTGCCTTTTTTATTTAAAGAAAATTACTTGGAAAAATTAACCTCTAACATCTTCTAACTTTAAAGGTCTATTAGGACTTCAAAACCCATATAATAAAGAGTTTGAAGCCAGGCTTGGTTATACAAGTAATCCCAGCACTGGGGAACAAGAGGCAGGAGGATCATGAATTCAAGGCCAGTCTGGGCTATACAGCAAGACCTTGGCTCACAAAACCAACAACAATAAAAATAAAAGGCATAATTTGAGTTTCATTAGAAGCTCAACTTACAGGCAAAACTGTATACAAACTTTTTTTTCTAGAGAAAGGTTGATAGCTTTCATTAGATTCTTTAAGAATTTGAGAATCACCATTTTAAATAGTTTAAAATCTCAACACATGATGCTTGGTTCCTAGCATGGTTGTTCACTGTTTCAGTTCTGACTATATTTTATAACTGGCTTCTTCATGGCATATACACAAGGAGAAGTATAAAAATCTTATTTGAATTTTTTAAAGATGTCTAAGTAAAAAAAGAATCTCACAAAACTTTACAAACTTTATCATCCAAAGTACAGACCTTTGCTGCTTTTCCAACTCGAGGTTTAAGTGGTAAATAATCCTCATCTGCAGGAAGCGCAACCTGATGTCAAAGATAAAGAAAAAAAATGTTATGAACTTACTATCTGGCATTCAGCACTCCAAAAACCAATGATGGTTCAAAAAAAATTAGAAGTGATAAACTAGAATGTTTCTGACAGTCTTAAGACACTGTTACAGTAACTGCCTTTAAGAATAGACAAAAAATTAAAGTTCTAACATTCAAAAGAGCTCTATCAGTGTAAATCTAATGGTAATGTAATTGGAAACTGGTGGCTATCTCCCCAAAGCAGGGTGGGGGGGAACTGTTTAAAGATTAGAACCTATCTCAGTTATCTTTTTATTTTCCATATCTAAATTTGGAAATCAGAAGATATGGGTAGTTTAAGAAATAAATGACTAGAAATTGACTGTAGTTAAGAAAACAGAGGCCATGTGTGGTAGTAGCCCACAGCTATAAAACAGCTCATTGGGAGGCAGAGTAAAGGAGGGTAAAGTTCAAGACCAGCCAAGGCAAAAAGTTAGCAAGATCCCAAGCATGCCTGTCATCCCAGCTATGCCACAGGGATAGACAGGAGGACTGAGGTCCAAGGCCAGCCCTGGGCAAAAACAGGAGACCCTATCTGAAAACTACCAAAGCAAAAAGAGTGGGGAGGGGGCTAGGGTGAAGTTCAAGTGGTAGAGCTAGCAAGCTCTAGGCCCTGAGCACAAACCCTAGTACCTCCTGCCCCCAAAATGTAGATTAAACAGAAGCAGGTGTGGTGGCACAGCTGATGAGGAGGATCATCAAGGCTCACCTGGGCTACATACAAGGCCCTGTCTCAAATAATAATAATAATAATAATACTAATACTAAGTATGAAGAATGTATCAAAAGAAATGTGATCTTCCAAATGGAATTTATAAAGGGGAACCAGAGGTTAGGCTTTCATATTTTAACCAGCACAGTTTTGAAATGTCAACTTTTAAGAGTACATGAACACATCTGGAGGTTCAGAATCTTTTTCATCAATCTTTTCTTTAAGACTCTATATTCCACTTTATTACAATTCTAAGAAATTTAATAATTCTGATTCCCAGATAGTTTAACAGTGAGAGGCCTACTTATTGAGAAAGGAGACTATTTCATATACCTCCTCCATCTCTTACATGTATGTCGAATGTGAGACTACCCTTTGGTATAGTAACAAAGTCAAATTTTCTAGATATGAATATGAAAGCTAGTACTGAAGATAAAAGCTAGATCCTAAGTCATGGTGTAATCCCCATGAAGGTATGATCAACCTATGAAGCCACCTCCCTCACATCTCGCTTGATCCATCAAAGAATACCACCAGTAAACAATTAATAATTAAATATTTCTGGGATTTAACAGCAGCAACAACAAAATTATATTTTTACACCAACAAGAATCAAAGAGTTATGCTTTTATTCTCTGAAAACACTCTGGGTAATATATAATAGAAGGTAGAAAAAAAGAAACCCACAGAAACTTAAGGAGTCAGGAAAACAGAACACCAACAAAATGATCAAGAGTCAAATACTGACCAATTAGCCACTGGGATTTTTGCCAGTGCAGTTTCAAAGAAATGGAGAGAGAAGAAATCTAATTGAACTGAATTACAAGATGAATGAAAGGTCAAGAAGTCTAACAGAGATTCTTCAAGCATTATACTAAACATCACTTCTGAGAAAGGTCAGAAGTGACCTTTACACTCAGTGCATAATAAAATATACCTGGCACTCGAAAGGTATGTGTTGAATGAATGACTATACCAGGGACAAGAAAAACAATATAGTGCCAGAAAAGCAACCTATAACAACAAAAAAACCTTTCAATGTTCATATGCACAGGAAATAGTAAATAGAGAGGAGACTACAGAAGCCAAGAAAAAAAAAAACGGAATCGACAAAGGCTTTGTGGAGAAAGGATAAGATACAACCAAAAAACTGGCAGAACAACCATGGTAAGCCTCCAAAAGGAGATGTTTTCCCTTTCAGTGGATGTGACAGGGGTAGATGGGCTTGCTAATGGAGATTATAATCAGAGGATACTCAAACTTAACATTCTCAGGCCTCTATATGAAGTAAGAGATAAAGGTAGCTGCTGAGAAAATGAGAGGTGACAAATGGAAGACTTGAAAATAATCATGAAGCATAAAGAAAAGCTTCTGATCTTTTCATAACAGGGTTTATATGTATATTTTAAAATTCTGACTTTTGAAAGCCTAGAACACTGAACAGGGTCCAAAATAAGTGCTGAATGATCAAATGAGCATTCCATATGACAGTGTAAGTGCCATTTCTAAGAGAACATAAGGAACTTTGAGCAGAAAGACAGGTATTTAAACAGATAAGGTTCTAAATCTATGTAAATCTGTATTACAAGCTATTTTTATTAATTTTGAATTTGTCTTATTCAAGAAACTTTTAATTAAAATTCTCCAATTACCTGTAAAAAGAACTTGCTCTAAGGTTTTATTGTAATGATAAAAGGCCTAACGTAAGAAAATAGTGTTATAGTCCTACTATGTGCCTTATTTGTATACATTCTCACTTCTAAGTATATGCTACAAGCCATCAGTGACCACCATCTTGTGGAAGAATAAAGAAACTGCAATTCACCAGTCATGAGAAAGATATGAAATAGTCTCCGAATTGCAGAAATGTTGCTAATACTTAACTTTAAGAGTATGAGAATAAGCATGTACTATAACACATACTCTGTGCAGGGTACTTTACCTAATTTTCTTTTTATGGGGGTGGGTGGGAATGGTTTGTTTGAACTCAGGGCTTCATGCTTGGAAAGTAGGCACTCTACCATTTGAGCCACACCTCTGGTCCATTTTGGTCTGATTATTTTGGAGATGGGGTGGGGGTGGAGAGAGGTCTCACTATGTGCCAAGGCTGGTCTCAAACTTGGATCCTCCCACTTGTGTGAGCCACTGAAGCCTGGCTATCTAATTTTCTTATACAAGCTTTACAACCATCCCAGGTGGAAAATACCATTATTCTAAATTTACAAATTAATAAGACAATGTTCAAAAGAGATCAGAAAATTTATCCCAAGATTGTAGTTAGGAAAGACGTTGGGTCAGCATCTGAACCCAAGCTTCATCCAGCAATATGTGCACCCCATAGAAACTACTTGCTGCTTCCAAGGCCTTTAAAGTTAAACTTCTTGCTGATCATCATACTAGACCATACAGAGAAAAGTCCTATTTATAGGTCTGGAGGTGTGGCTCAACCAGTAGAATGCCTGCTTGGCAGGCATGAAGCCCTGAGGAGTTCAATCCCCAGTATCACCAAAAGAAAAAAAGAAAAAAAAAATGTCATTTATAATATTAACTTACTATACATTGTTGACTGGGCTTACCTCATGTGTACATCCTTCAACAGTTTCAACTGACTGCACCTTGACCCGGGGCATCAGGTCTGCCAAACTTAAAAAGATAAAATGAAATTAAATAATAAAGCCTTTTCTCTGTATTGTTAAAGAAAATTATACTGTCCCATTATCAGTACTGCAAATCAGAAAAACTTTTTAGTTATAAAGACTATTTAGAAATTTTGTCACATTACTCAAATACATCATGAGAACTGAAAATGCTGTTAACATCTTTGGCCTAGCACATCTGAGGCCCTAAATTCAAAGCCCAGTACCACAACTTCATGCAGAGATGGGGATATAGCTCAGTGGAAAAGCTCTTGCCTAGCATGTATAAGGCTTTGGGTTTGATCCCCAGTACCACAAAAAACTAAATGCAACCACCAAATAAGAGTTACTAACATTTATGGCTATGGAAATTTACCTTAAGTCTTCAGTTATTGACTCTTCTATCCTGGGCTTTTTTCCAAAAATAGGTTCATCTGTGCCTTCACAATCTGCATCTCTCTTGTTTTTTCCACTATTAGTTGACTCTGATTGTAATTTAGCATCAAAATGTTTTCTGAAAAGTAAACAACTTAGAATTAAATTCTGATTAAGGGTAATGCCATAAAGTATTGTTTCACATCTTACATCTACCATTAGCAGAATAAGGTCATCTTTTAATCAGATGACTGCCACAAATCCAAACTGGCTAAAGTTCAAAACACTATACCTAGTAACAAGAACATTATTCTTTTTATATTTCATATTTTCTTGGGAGGTTTTAAAAATACTAAAATTCAATTTGACAAATATATTAACACAAAACAACATGGGACATTTATAAGAACACCATCAATAAACTGTAAATATTTTATCTAATTACAAAGTATTACTATTTCAAAAGAAAAAACTTATGTGGTTTGACTTGCTGCTCAAAGTTATAACAAAAATGGTACTTGGCAGACTGCATAACCATAGGGAATTCAATCTGATCACTATTTTCATACACAAAAATCAATTCCATGTGAATTGTAGAACTGTGAAAGGCAAAAAAATATAAAAAAGAAAAAGCTACTAGAGGATAAAATGAGGAAATTATCTTACAAAATTGTTAAACAGGACATAAAATTACTAACCGAAATATAAAAGTATGATAAACTGGACTGCCCAAACAGTTCTATTAATCAAAAGGTACCATTAAGAGTAAAGAGATACAACAAAAGAACAGCATATGAAAAGGAATTCAACATAATTATTTATCAGAAGTATAAATAAAATAATACTACGTTAGCAGCTCAAACTATTAGCTTTAGAATTATTTCTCACTCTTAAAAATTATGGAGGACAAAGAATTTTGCATATTATCTATCATTATTCTATAAATATTAGATACTAAGATTAAAATTTTAAAAAATGTTTTATCAATTTACTTTAAAATGGCAACAATAAAACTTGTATATGAAATAAATGTTACATTTGTGATAAAAATAGCTGTTTTACAAAAATCTTTTAATGAACATGCAGCATTCCTTTAAATTTTTCCAAATCTCTTTATTGCAAATCTCATCTGCTTCTGCATTTAACTTGATGATACACTGTTTTGGTTGAAGTTTGTGAAGAAAAATCCAGCCTCATATAGATATGTAGTTGGAAAAAGGAAGAATATTTTTAATAATAGACTTTTTAGATAATTGCGGCTATTCCTCTCATCTCACACCAAAACCCAATCACGCTTTAAGAGCCATTGTTACTGCTATTACATATGTTTTAACTTGTGTTGAATTTTATAACACAAGT